GGTATGTGATTCCTTTAATGTAATGTTGAATTCGGTTTGCTAATATTTTGTTGAAGATTTTTGTGTCTATGTTCCTCAGGGATATTGGCCTGTAATTCTCTTTTCCAGTGCCCTTGTCTGGTTTTGGTATCAAGGTAATGCTGGTCTCATAAAATTAGTTTAGAAAAGATCCCTCTTCTAGTTTTTGGAGAGTTTGAGAAGGATTGGTAACCATTCTTCTTTGAACATTTGGTGGAAGTCACCAGTAGAGCCGTCTAGTCCTGGACTTTGGTTTGTTGGGAGGGCTAATCCGCCTCTTCAGATTCTTTGTCTCCTCATGATTCAGTTTTGATAGTTTATATGTTTCTAGAACTTCATCTATTTTTTCTAGGTTTTCCAGTTTGTTGGCATAAAATTGTTCATAACATTCTCTTCCGATCCTTTGTATTTCCGAGGCAGAGATGTAATGTTTCCTCTTCCACGTTATTTATTTGAGCCCTCTCTCTCTCTCTCTTTTTTTTTTCTTGATGAGTCTAGCTAAAGATCTGCCCATTTGGTTTATCTTTTTAAAGAACCAGCACAGTTTCATCAATCATTTCTATTGTCTTTTTAGTATCTATTTCCTTTATTTCTGCTCTAATTATTGTTATTTCCTCCCTTCTACTAAGTTTGGGAAGAGGCATTTTAATATTCTGCTTAAAGCTGGGGGAGCACACAGGGAATAGTGGGATGCCACCCCTGGCGTGTGTGCTGGGCTGGGGAAGGGGGAGTGGGTGCTGAAGGTAATTGAAAGGTTTCTTTATTGGGGTATCTTCTTACACGACTTTCTGTGGGTATAACTCGAATCTGTGTGGTCCACATGCCGCAGAGTGTTCCTGGCAAGCTGTATTTCTGTTGCCATTTAAAAACTTTTTTTTTCCCCCTAAAGGCAGTTCTCATGTGAAGACAGGAGGAAGGGACTCCTAGACTGTGGTTAATAAGGAGGAAGAACCCAAAGGCAGTTTCGGTCATCTGGAGCCATTAACTGGCTCTAGGCCTCTCCACACTCACACTTTGCACCTTCATCAATCTTGATGGTGATGGGCTTTTAAGATTATCATGATTTTTAGCTCTGTAACTGATATATTCTGTAAGTTTCATATACTAATAAATGTAGTTTCATGAATGGCAAAAACAGCTTCTGGATATTATGGAAACAAATAGATTTCAATAAGCCTGTGCTGTTTCTGCTGGTGGTAGCGGCATGTTGGGACCTGATGGTAGATTGGTTGGTTAGATTGAGTAGATCTCTGGCAGCAGCAATACATCCTTTTAGAATGGCTCAGGCAACTCCTGTCAACTTTAGAGGGAATGTTCTCACTGTAAAGTAGTAATTTTGCATTTGGCTTTGTAGCAAATGTGTATTTCTTTGGAAACATTAAATCTTACTTTTGGAAAATACTCTAGTGGGGTTGCAGTATTACCTATGAATCAAGAACAACCCTAAAGTTCTTTTCTTACTTGTTTGGTGGTGGATCTTAACGTGCAAAACAGTGCAAGCCACCAACGGTGCATCCATGCACTCGTGCACACGGGAGTGTCAACTGATGGGGAGAAGAATCCTGGGGCCTGGGCGTAGGCTGAGTTCTGCTCCTACCCCTTACTAGTCATGCAAACCTGGGCAGGTCCTGTAGTCTCCTTGGGCCTTATTATTATCATCTGGAAAATAATCACTTCGCAGGGTTTCTGTAAGAGTCAATTAGATAATGTGTATAAAACAGCCAATATATTTCTTTTTTTTTCAATATATTTCAATTTGTTTAAAATTTCCATAAAGTGCCTGAAAAGTGTTGTTGAAACACTTGTTATAAGGCATCTTGGGAAGGAAGGATAAACTTGTCTACATGATTTTATTGAGACAAGATCAATCCAAATGATCTGTTACTTAAATGTATAAAAATAGGGAGAGAACACTCACATTGTGACCCCAGCTGCTGTTCACCTTGTCTTGCCATCACGGCGAAGGCCAGCTGACCCAGCACTGTCCATCTACCTGACCAGGCAGCTTGGTCTCTCTGCAACTCTTTTTTGACACACAGGTTTCTGGGGTTGCGGGATGGATGAAAACCCCAGGACTGAGGCGAGGGGCTACATGGTGAGGGCAGGGTGCAAGTCCCCAGAATCTCCTTAAGGGAAGCTGAGTGAACCAGGAAGATTCTTCTTGCTAGGGTTAAGTAGAATCTGGGAGAAGTGTTAATAAAGTGAGTGGAGGCTGCTGGTGACCTGGGGTGTGCACTCTGAGGCAGCTGACAGTGACGTTGAGGTAAGCTCTGGAAACAGGACATTTAGTTAAATGTCCTATATTTGCATATGCAGGTGGAAAGGAGCGGACAGAAAGTGTTCTGGCCAAACACAAATTATCCAGAAATAGTAATTAAATTAAATCATAAGAATAAAGTCCTCCTGCAGTGTTTATATAGTAAAAGAAATAAACAAAGTAAGCTGGTGTGCCCGAGAAAGGGTTTTGCTAATGGCCTGAGTGGGTTAGAAACCTAAGCATGGCTGGAATACTCCGTCTTTCGTTTCCTTTCTTTCTCTTCTCTTTCTTTGCTCTTCTTTGCTTTAACTTTGATCAGTGACAGGAGTTTAAATTCTGGATCCACAGGGCTGTTTTAGAATGATCTCTTATTACTTCAGAAAATTTTCCATTTCCAAGAGAAGGAAACTTCTTCTACAGACATGTCTGTCCTATAGGAGCTGTTTGGAAAATACTGACTTGATTATATCCTGTTGTAATTTTGAAATACTTCTATCTGTGTCCCAACGAATGGGGCGATTATCTGTATTCATGCCAGTAATAACTTCATAGAGACCTGAGAGTGACAAACAGACATAACTATGACCTGGTGTTTTAAATAAACATGTTGGTTTTTTCTCCATAAAAATGGAAACTATGTCTCCAGACTCCACCACGAGTATCTCTAAGAAAGCGACTCTGGCATCCAGCGCCCATGGGCTTGTCCAGTTGTTAGGGAGTCTGTGAACGATCCAACCCTGCCTCATCTGTCAGAGACTTAGACAAACCCATTGCATTTATCTTTCTGGAATTCCCGGAGGACCTGCAGGTGATGTGTGACAGACATGCTGACACATCTTTCTTGAATAAAAGGCTTTGAGAGCCAAGTTTTCTTTCTGCTCCCATTGTACCCCCACGCCTCCAAAGGAAGGGAAGTGGAATTGCCAGTACTGCAAGCTCTGGCATCCAGATCTGGTCCTGATTTTGTTGTTTATGAGATTTGGCTAAGGTGTTTGACCTATTTGCTTATATTTCTCATAGGTAAAATGGGGATCGTTAAGTCTCCTTCTCTGTTGTCCTTGAAGGCAATGAGGGTGAATGAATGGACATGTGTCCAGTCTTCTGAGTTCTGCTGAAAAGTGCACAATATCACATGAATATTTCAGCTATTGGCCATCCTCTAAGTAAAGTAGAAAGTAAAAACGAAATTTTTAGTAGGAAGTGCTTTTTAAAGGATTCGTGTCAGCTCTGAATGTAAATGTTCTTCTTTGGATGGTCTTACAATTCACGGTATGCGGTATTTACTTCTTTATTTTTACCTTAATTTTTATTAACGTTTCCTAATGGCATTCCATATTTATGTAATCATTTGCAGCTGCTTTGCTCACCTGTTTCTCAGGCCCCAAGAGCCTTATTATAATTTCCTTCTGAGCCCTCGAGCCAGGAGGAATGTGTTTAAGTACTCAGCAGATTCTCAGGGCTGTGGAATCTGAAGGAGACTTCGTAGTGGCTTTCAGGAAGATCCATTTCTTTCCTGACCCTGTCTGTGTCCATCACTTTCCTGCTGGAAGTGGGAAGACCTCTCTCTCCACAGTTCGGGACCCTGTGGTTGGAATAATACAGCTTTCGTCCCAGGAACCAGGCACCGGACTTGCTGATGCAGCCCGGAGACTCATCCCCACCCCTTATAGCCAAAGCTTCAGATTAAACATCTGATTAAAAATCAGATTTGTATTTTCTGTTTTGTTCTTTTTCCCAGCCCCCTGACAAGTCAATTGAGGCATTGTTCTTGAAAATCCTCACTCTTCGGTTTTCTGTGTGAGCCAGAATTAGTTTTTTTTTTTTTCTCCCTGTAAAGTTGTAAGCCAAGGCTAAACTATTTCAGCAATGTCGTCTGCGATGGATACTATCCAGAGTCTGGGTGTGCAAAATTCTCTTGGTTTCCAACCAGTCCCCACCAAGAAGTTTGCACCCCCTACAACCACTGTGCTCCCTGCGTAAACACCTGAACCCCTTGACAGAGCTGCTCTAGAAGCAGCCACATTTCTTCCAGACTTGACCCGTGTCACTGCGGGCCGACCCAGGATCTCTAGTTCACAACTCGCCCCCAAGTGCGTTATTCTGCTAAGAAAAAAAAAAAAAAGTGCCAAAGGCACGCAGCCCCCTGTGAATTTTCTGGCCCTTGTGGTGCTGGTACGCTTCTTTTGCTGGAAAGCCAGCTAATCAATCAGCAAATTTGAGAGGTGACATTCTGGCCTGGACGCGGCAGCAACGGAACCTGCAGGTCGAGGACAACCTGGGGGCTGACCCAGGTGTGAGAGCGGTGGGTGAACCACAGGGCAGGTCCTGCGCCCAGGGGGTCGGTGCCCTGGGACACCAGGAGGGCGCAGCGCATCTTGTGGTGGTGCCCGGGACTCTCCTAGGGCGCGCGCGCGCGTGTGTGCATGTGCGTGTGCATGCGTGCGCATGAGTGTGCATGAGTGTGCATGCGTGTGCATGTGCATGTGCATGCGTGTGCATGCGTGTGCATGAGTGTGCATGCGTGTGCGCGCGCAGCTCTGCTGGGCGGCGCGGCCCCAGCGGCCCCTCTCCACCTCCCGCTCCGCAGACCCGCGCGCGGGGCGCCCCCGGCCGAGCGGAGCCGAGCCGGGCGCGGCGGCGGCGGCGGCGGCGGCGCGGGGGTGGGGCTGGCGAGGGGAGGGAGGGAGCGCGCGCAGGGGGAGGATCCGGGAAGTCCTGCAGTTACTTGACAGCAGCCGGCGGAGCGGCTCCGCAGCCGAGGGCCGAGGGCCGCCGGGTGAGAGGGCGGCTGCTGGAGCGCGGGGCGAGGACCGCCGGGGAGCACCCGGCTCGGCTCGGGCCGCCGCGGGCGCGCGTCACCATGCTGCTCCCGCAGCTCTGCTGGCTGCCCCTGCTCGCCGGGCTGCTGCCGCCCGCGCCCGCGCAGAAGTTCTCGGCGCTCACGGTGAGTCCCGCGGGGACCCGGCCCCCGGCCCCGGCCCCCGGCCCCGGCCCCCGCCTGCCCGTCCTCGGCCTGCGCGCGCCCAAGCGCGGGAAGCAGGTGACCCTCGGGGACCGCCAACGGGGTCGCGGCAGGTGGGGCCCGGGCGCGTCCCCAGGCGCTGCGTGGGCTCCTGGGGTCTCGCCTCCGCGTGGGGGTGGGTGCTCTCGGGGTCCTGCGCCTCCGGCGGGCGGGTGGGAAGGGCCGGCGGCGGCGCGGACAGCAGGCGGGGGACACGGTCGCCCACCGGCTCCTGTCCCTGCGGCCTGGAGCGCGCTCGGCCTCGCGTCCCTCCATCACCCCGACCTCCGTGGGCACAGCGCGGACCTGCGCCCCCGGGTGGAGAAGCCGCTAGCCCCGTGCGCTGCTCCCGGGAGCCCCCTTTGGTTCGCCTGCGGGTCCCAGGGACCCTCCCCAAGTGAGCCCGGGGGGAAGCAGATGGCATTACACACTATTTCCCTCGTGCCAGCAGGCAGCAGTCGAGGCGTCTCCGTGTCCTGCGGCCCCCTCTCCCGGGTCCCCTCCTGGTCCCGGTGCTGCGCGCAGGCAAGCGCGCTCCCGAGCGCGTGGGTCACCGTGGTTGACCGCTGCGTGTTTTTCTTTCTTAGCTGAAACTTCTCTGCAACAGCCCCGGGGCCGGCGGCGCGCGGGGCCAAGCCTGGAGCTATGCGCAGGGCGCGAGCCAAGCCACCGGCTGCCGGCCTGGGCCGGGTGTCTGCAGCCCCCAGTTGGGGCAGACCTCGTGGGCTTGCAGTGTTTGCAAACCCATAATTAATGCAATCTGCAGAAACGAAAACATTCCACTTAAATGTGTTTTTGAACAAGTGCTTGAGAAAACACGAAGGTAGAGAGAACACCTCTGGTGGAGAGATGCTTTTAAGTGGTGGGACTGGTCCTGAAGGGGTTTATTGTATCGAGAATACCTAAGGTTTGAAAGGAGCTGTGGTCCGGTTCTGCTTTTCAGCAAATTTGAAGCAGTCCTGTGAGCCTTATTTTTTTTCCCCCAAGCAGTATGAGGGGGGAAGAAGTTAGTGAGTTCACTGTTCATACCTAAAATTCTTCTGGAGCCGTCCTTGGGTCCCTGCCTTGTGTCTTGCAAATGACTTGTAGATTAGAAACCGCTCCCTGGAAGCTCTACCGAGGTTTGCACAGGCTCAGCTGTCCTACAGAACTTTTCTCCCCCAGAGGGGCCATCAGACGCTACTTCCCGTGTGTATTTCTGTGCGTCCGTGCTCCTAGTACCTGTGCACAGGTACACGCACATCCATACAACAGACTCCTCCCGCCCACTGAGCACTGAAGGCCACAGAGCAACAGACGGATTCTGGAAATACGACACTGGCATTTTCTCCTAGAGCGGTCGTGACAGCTTTTCCACCCTTGCCATGGGTGTTCTGAAGGTGTGAAAGGTAGACTCCCGTGTGCCTGCGCTCCGGGGGCGCCTGGGTCTGTTGGTTCCTCCCTGGAAAAGCAGAAGGGAGATGCTTAGTGATTAGATCCCTGCAGGTTCTCATCTCTTCCCTCCCCACCACTCTTCTGTTTAACATTTACTCCGGAACTCTTGTCCTTCGTTTCTTGGGATGGAGGCTCTGTGGCTTTCCTGGCTGCCCCCGGGGGAATTCCAGTGCAGAGCAGAGCCCCTCACTGCACTCCCCCAGAAGACCCTTGCCTTAAATCTACATTCGCAAATGCAATCATGATGCTTTTGCATCCAGAAGAAAATTTGAAAGCCCTAAAATATTTTGGCATAGTCTTCCCACAATCTGGGAATTCAACAAGTTGGCTGAGGGGTCAGGAGGGAATGTTAGATGTGCTGGGTCTTCTGCGGTGATCATCTCTCTTCAGATCACTTCCTAGTATTGGGGGATCTTTTGTTTCTTCTACGAGATTTACATCTGATCTTTAATAAATCAGAGAGGCAGCCTCAGCCCACGGGAGCCTGGGAGTGGCGACTCTGGATGTGTGATCGACTCTAGATGCATTACTTAACTTTCTTAATCTCCAGGTTCCTGATCGGTGAAGTGGGCATATCTGCTTAGCACGCTGTGAGGATCACAGATCAGGCTTTTAATATGCCTGGTATGTGTTAGTTCTCCAATTAATGTTATTTTTGATGGCACCCTTGCCATTGGTCCCTATGAGGTAGTTTTAAATCCTATAATCACAAGCTACATTGCTGTGTCCTTCAGGTGTGAGGGGATTGGTTTCATGGTGCTGTCACCTTTCACAGATGCTTAGAGCACGGCGCTTTGCTGTTGGTGTGTCCATGTGCTTAGCTGAGGTAGGTCGTGCAGGGCTGGACGCAGATTTCTCTCTGCCTCCTTCTATCCCACCTTCTCTTCTCACCTAGAAACAGGGATAATCCTCCACCTCTGTGGGTCAGAAGCCTGTCACACCTGGCTTCCCAGAACGACACCTGCCTTCCTCGCCCCTGACACCAAATGCTCTTTGTCTGGGGGCAGTGCTGTCAGAGTGTCCCTGGGTTTGATCACCGCTACTACTTTGTGTTCAAGACTAAGAGAATCTGCTTTGCTTGATAATTATCTTTTTTTTTTCTTTTTTTTCCAACCAGAGCCATTCTTTAGAAATGGCACCACAAGGCCCTTTGTGTTTTCCTTATGACTTTTTCTTGGCTTTGCATGGTCATCAATCAGACTTCGGGGTTATTGCTAATCAACAGATGGTGTTGTTAAGTGCGTTTGATCCTCCCTAATGGGGTCCACATCTATTTCTTCCTTTAAGAAGTAGAGACATTCAAAGGCCAGATCATGTCCTTTTTTCTGTGGGAATGCTTGGCTTTTTTCTTTTTACTTCTTTCTTTTTTAAAAAATTTAAAAAATATTTATTATTTGAGACAGTGGGGGGGGCAGAGGGGGAGGGGGGAGGGGGAAAGAATCTCAAGCCGACTCTGACACTTTACCAACTGAGTCACGCAGGCACTTCTCTTTTTATTTCCGTGAATGGCGAGACTGGAATAATTTGTAGGAGAAGCCATCTGGGTACACTTAATTCTATTCTCCAAAGGGTGCAACAGCTGTGATCACCATGGCTTTACTTTGTCACAGGTGTAGTTGTGTGGGTTTGGCAGGCTGGCAGTAAACCTGCACCTGAATGTTTTCTTCAGGGCCAGTGAGTAACGATGTTCCCTGATCCCCTTCCCACGGTATTTGGGGTAGAGCCCAGGGATTCCTCTTAGAACTGACTGAATGGTATTTTGTCCATCCTCAGCATGCAGACATCCTGCCTTTTCTTGTGACCAGTGGATGCTGCTGCCTTCGGTTCGCATCCAGGACTTGGTTGTGAGCACGGGCTGTCTCTCAGCACTACATACTCTGCTTGGGGCACTTTGTGTGTGCTGTTCCCGTAACGCTCACAACCAGCCATCCACACAGGTTCTGTGGCACCACGTTCAAGAGCCAAGGGAACTGCCCCTGGACGCTGGGCTGGCCTAGCCGTTTCCAAATTCAACCTGAATTTGTTTTCCTTGCTTTGAGGGATGGGTGTTCCTGCACTAAGGTCAGTGTCCCCTTCAGGGACTTGGTGATTCCTCAGGGTCTTTCCCTCCCACCTCCACACTGGGGAGGGAGCGTGCTCAGGACTCACTGGTGTGTGGGGGGGACATGTAGGAACGGAGTCCAAATGGCTGTTTTCTGCCCCTCTGTGAGTTCCTTTGCTTTGGAAGAAAAGGAGGGAAATGGAAAGACAGTGCTTGCTCATACATAAATTTTAAAATATTTCCTCATTAACACGCCTGTGAGAGGGGCTGGTATCGCTGTTACTGGAACATGGGCACCAAAATGCTCCTGCGTCTCTGGGCCGTCGGGGGGTGAAATGTGCACCACATGGTTTCGGTGCTGTGCTCCCTCAGGGTCAGATGTTATAGGCAGTGATTCTGGGTGTTTCTCCTCCCACCACAAATGCTGTGAGCACGAGCACGTGTGATGCTCTGGGAAGGCCGTGTTTCCTTCGTCAGCAGAAGGCAGGCCAGAGGTGGCTGGGGAGGAGGACAGTAAACACAATGGACAGTGTCCAACCTAGTCGTACATGGCGACTGAACCCCCACATCTGGAGGGCCGCTTTAACTTTGATTTGGAATCAAGACCATAAATAAAACTATAAGCGACTGCAGGCAGTAAATTGGGGAGTAAATGGGCATTGATGTGACAAGGGCTCAGAACAGAGCAGATTTCTAGGTAATTTGGGATCAAAATAAGCCTTCATGACCCTCCAGGATTTTAGGATTGGAGCTGTTATTAGGATTAGCAGAATGCTGGGATACAGAGCAAGGTAACACCTATGTATTTTTTTTTTAAGATTTATTTATTTATTCATGAGACACACAGAGAGAGGCAGAGACATAGGCAGAGGGAGGAGCAGGCTCCTTGCAGGGAGCCTGATTCGAGACTCAATCCCAGATCCTGGGATCACAACCTGAGCCGAAGGTAGGCACCCAACCGCTGAGCCACCCAGGTGTCCCAACACCTATGTATTTTTTAATTAAAATTATGGCATTCTCCAAATACCAGACATGGACTGAAAATAATGGATTTCTAGTGGGATTTTGAAGTTAAAAAAGAAACAACAAGAAATAAATTCTGAGCTCATTTATAGAAAACTAGAACGGTCCCTTCTCATTTTGCCAATCGATGGTGTCTGTAATGGGGTTGGGATCCCACTATTAATACTTGTACGTGCTTAGAGTTTGAATAACACTCAGTACGTTGAATATTTTTAACTGAAGCCCGTGAGAGGCAGGAATTGAGAAAATAAAATCGTCATTTCATATGGACTGAGAAGAAATTATTCTGGAAGTATTAATAAGAGACTGTCTTATGTGGTTTGGTCATCTCAGGCTGAAAATCAGAGAGCAAAGATTCGTAATAAAGCACACACAAAAAATTGGAGCCAAGCAAAGTGTTAACGCATTTATATTGTCAGAATTTTTTAAAAAAAGAAATTATAAA